TTGTATTTTAAAATGAAATGATTCCGTTCCCAGTCATAATTGGATTTTGTTTTTTTAATATTCACTTAAACGGTGGAAATAACGGAATAAAATTTTTAATTTATGTTAAGAATTCCAAATACTGGTTGACTAATGATCAACTTTTTTCTTTACAACTAGCTGTCGCCCGCGACTGCGATTGAAACTGGGTACGTTGAGCTTAGTAGTTAATCTGCAAGTCCTGGGTTCGAATACTGCTGGGCCAATGTGTTTTTGGATTTTAGATTTATTTACGTACACATTTGCAAACATCGTGATTGGATGTACATATTTGGGAAGAAATTCAAAAATGCGTGAAGTCAAATTATTCAAATTTTCGTGAGACATTATATAAAACTTATATAAAAGTGAGCTGAGGGCCACGTCCGCGAATTAATACAAGTCCCACTCACCCTGATGAAGGGCCCCCTATGGCTCGAAACTAGTCGGTCCCGCCACCGGACAAATATACGTGACTGTTTAGCATTTTTATATGTATAAGTTTATGCGTGAAGTAAACCCGCATTGGGCTAGCTTGGTTGACTATGGCCTAGTCACCTTTTACGTAAGGTAAGCTCCGAGCCTTTCAGTTTTTCTAAGTGAAGGTTTTAAGGTAAGTTAAGATTTCATAATTTAACGAAAGTGTGTTAAAATGTAAGTTGGATTAAATAAAAATTAAAAAGAAAAGATAATTTAAAGAAATATAAACAGAGCAAACATAGGCGAGCATTTCGTTTAACAAAACCGAGTCGCTTCTCGAGCAACGGGTAATATTTGCGGCTTCGCTACGCTCGCGGGTAATTGCGCGCCAGTGGAACTACAGCTTAAGACCTATTGAGACTATAATGAATTCTTACCATTGTTTTGTAATTATTAAAATGTATTTTTCTAATAACATAAAATAATAATTTTACTACTTTCTCTATTAAATTTCTTGTTGAATAAAAACTTATTAAAAATCGCAGTAATATTTCCGTAGAGTAAATGAAGAATTTAAAAAACAAATTAAAAAAAATAACAAGCGACTTTTACTTCTCCCATCTTAAGTATGTTTATATATATTTTTATAATTTTTTTTTTATAATAGTCCGTCCGCTACGACTTAGGGTCCTTCAAGAAGCGAGCTTATCACCACCTCAAAGGCCGGCAACGCATCTGCGGTTCCTCTGGTATTGCTGATGTCCATGGGCGTCGTTGAACACCTCGGTGTTCCCGCTGCTCGTTTGCCTCCTTATGTTATAATAAATAAAAAAAAATCATTATTGTATTAAAAAATAAGTCCACAGAACTTTGTTGAGTCATATTTCTAATATTTAGCGGCATGTCAGAGTTCTAGTATAGTTTTAATTAATTATTTCTCACTCAGTAACTGAAATGCAACTGACAATTAAACATTTGTTCAATATTTCATTTAAGAATTTATAAAAATATTATAAAACCAACTTTGTTTTAAATATTTCGATAAGTTATAAGGATTAAAAAGAATTAAGATTATTTATTTAATTAAATCTGTCCTAAATGACTGTTTAAGTGTTCAAATGACCCTAAGTGCGATCTTTAAAATCAATAAACCAGAGCTTGACTATGTTCCTCTAAGACCTTACTTCATAGTTTCATTTCTATATTAATTTCTACACGAGACCACTTTCATTCTGATGTTAGGTCGTTATGCGTAAGAAGGGGGTATATGCATGACGGCAGATAAAGATGGTTGGGGGATATGCTCTGCCGATCATCCGTAGGGATAAGCACAGGTTGATGATGTTAGGTCGTGAATCAGCCGACATGATAAACGCTTAGTAGCCTTAAAACTGTCTTGTAAGCTTCAACGTCATACTGAGATGAAAAAACTAACCCTGCCAATAAGTTAAATACTCGTAATATTAATTATACTCCAAGATTTGGATTTGAGAATTACAGTTTTTGTTACATCTTATATTAGTTCACGTCAATATCAAATGGCTAAGACATTAATTTTAACTCAGTAAGAACTGAGCATCATTCATCATTGTATTACATTTAATTACTCAACTTATATTACACTTTAAGTGTTTGAATTGAATCACGTTTTATTGAGAATATACATTTAAAATTATTATACAGACCTAAGTTATTTTTTTACAGTTAAAATAACGAAGGACTGAAGTTAAAAGCTATAAATTCAAATTACTCAAATGCTAATTTAATTTGGTGACATTGAAACTGAAATAGAAACTCCTTGAACCAGGATAAAGAAACATTTAACTATTTCCTAGATTGGTAAATTCAATGAACTTATTTATCACTTAGGTCGGTACAATATGTATTCTTCCGTACATCTCTATTAGAAGTCATATTTATATTACTCCCTTACTCATGTCCTTTTTTACACAGTCCATCTTTACTTGACGTATATAATAGCGAAATCTTTCTAATATTATAAATTCGAATATTTGGATGGATGGATGTTTGAATGTATCTCCAGAACGGCTGTAAGAGTCTTGCTAAAATTTAGCATAGACTAGCTGTGGCTCGCGACTTGCCAGTGCGGAATTAAAAAAAATCTTAGTACCCTGTGTGATGCCAAATTTTATTGAGATCCGTTCAGCAGTCCTGGAGATACATTCAAACAAACAGCCATCCATCCAAACATTCGCATTCATAATATTAGTAAGATGTAGAACATAGTCTAGAAGAACACATAGGATAGTAATTTTTTTTTAATTCCCGTGGACTGAGTCCTGAGGGACAGCTAGTAGTTTTATATAATCAAATATCTTTGTTAAAATTACTCAAACTTAAGACAAATATATCCAAAAGGGTTTTAACCAAGTGGGATTTAAAGACACAGAGTTACTTTTCATAGTAACTCTGTGCCTTTGTAACTTGACTTCATGTTGATCTTAGAAAAATGTTAAAAGGTTTCTTTACCTTGTTTTCAAGTGATACATTACGTTGCGTACTTTTTATCTTTTGTTGTCTTTTTACGCACTTTTTTATACAAACATTATTGAACAACATATTGGTATATTTATAAGGTGAAAAAAAACTTAAATACTTAAGCGTCCATAGCCTATTGGTTAAGGGTACGGAGTTCCGATCACGAGGTCGGGGTTTTGAATCCCGCCATTCGATTATTGGAAACCATATCCTAGCACAAGCACAGAGCTTAGTTGGAATGGTTAAAGAAATATTAGTAAATTTACAAAAAAATCTGCTAATATTTAGTAACAAAAAAAATATTGCTTTCATCTAATATAGTTTTTTTTTCAATACTGGAACCGTATTTATACGTATTTATTTTATTGTAAATGTTTTTAATAGTAAAATTTCACTCAGTACTAACGTTAAAAACATCTCAACAAGTCGAGAATCTCAGGTAACAATTAGCTTGTGAAATAAATATAAATAGTTATGCAACAGGCGTAGAAACGCCTTCGCTTTTAGAAGCTCAACTTTGCTCTAAAGAGAGCCTCATTTGAACGTTATATTCAGGCTTAATGTACAAAAGTTAGCGGATAAAAACTTAACAACAATAAAGACATATTTGACCATGAAAATATACGAGAATAATATTGGTATTTCGGCCATTTTAACATAAAAAAAAAAACATTCCGATCAAAAAGTATTAAATTTGGAGCACCAGGGGTGTACTTACGCGGCAACACACATAAAAAAACATACAGACGAATAGATAACCTCTTTCTTTTTGAAGTCGGCTAGTAATGTTATTGAATAACCACACTAGATTTCGTCTGCGACACCGTCTGCGAGAAATTAAAAATAAAACTTAATTACTAGCCTATGTTTTCTTCTTCTATGTTCTACAGCTATGCCAAATTTCAGCGAGATCTATGCAGTCGTTCTGTACATACCTACTGACAAAGGTCCATCTATCTAAACTTTACATTTATAATATTATTAAGGTATTCTGAATTAAGTTTAAAGAATTTAAAAATAGACCAATTTGTGTGTGAAAATTAAAAAAAAATTCAACAAGAAATATAAATTTATTTAATGAAATCGTTAAGAAACGCTAAATGTTTTTTTTTTTTTATAAATTGTTTAAATCACAAGTCGCTCATAATTTAAGCCTTAGTTATATTCGGTGTTTAGTACAATTAGAGCCCTCTCCTGAGGGTATGGTAACAGTGCTTTTAGTAGAAACACACCTTTATGTTTCAGCTGCAAAATTGTATGGCCTTTTATGACCTCATGTATGTGAAAGAAGTTAGAAAGTTAAATGGGATTTGAATGGTCGACAGCTAATTGTTTTTGGACTAAGAGAACACATTTGTTAATTTAATGGTCCTAATTGTAGAGTCCATAATTATGATGCTAAAATAACTAAGTCATATGTTCTGCGAAAATAAAGACTCATTAATTTCAGTCTCACTCATTTCGATCTCACTGAAATTTGCCATAGATGTACGATATAATCTGGAAGACCACATAGAATACTTAAGTTTTTTTTAAATTCCTCGCGGAGGGAGTCGTGAGCGATAGCTAGTCATAGAATAAACACTAATTTTAATACAAAAATTAACTTAATATTATAATCTCTCTATATCTAGATATATAGAAATCTCTATATATATTATATAAAAGAAAGTCGTGTTTGTTACACTATTTATAACTCAAGAACAGCTTTACTGATATGGCTGAAAATTGGTGAGGAGGTAGCTTAGAGCCAGGAGACGGACATAAAATATTATTTATTCATTTTTTATCGAATTTATGGCTTGAAGAGCTGCTTCTTATTTAACTTACTAATATTATAAATGCGAATGTTTAGATGGATGCGATGTGAATGGATGGGCTACACTAATTAAGTTTTTTTTATATATATCCACGCGGAGGGAGTCGCGTGCGACAGCTAGTGATGAATAATTCAAGAAATCAATGAATTAATAAATATTTTATTAATTAAATACACAGATTTATTTGAAATGGCACAACTCAACTTATACACTATATCATACAAGCTACCGCCAATTGTAACCCAGCCTTACAACTGACAATTTATATAGAACATTTTGTAGAGTATTAAATAAAAAAAAAAATAGGTAACAATTTCATTAGATTATATTTTGCTTAATTAAATTCATTTTTTAATTTAAATTTAGAACGTCAGTCCACTCGGTTTTTTATCTTCTACGTATTCATTTATCTTCTGTCTGCCTCTGGAAGAAAATTTAAAAATAGAATTATTTTTTAAATAATTAAAATATAAGATAGGAGATATATCAGAGTCAATTGAAAGTTTTAATTCCAGAATATAGAATTACGAAGTGTCCTTTCTTAAATTAACTTTAATAATTGCAAAAAGCACGTCCTTGGTTCCAGATTTTTACACCAACTCTTTGTTATAACTCAAAGCCTACGCATTTTAAGATCGTTAAGAAGTTAATGAATTATTAGCATTTATCAAAGTTACGATCTGCTACTGAGGAGCTTTATAGCTCGGTTACTCTACGAGGTCTACGCTAAGCACCATCTACATTCAGCCACGATAAGTGCGTTTTAACTATAAATGTGACTTCAAATAAAAAAGTGACTTGTCAATACCAAAAAGTATAATATATATATTTACCAGTAGTTGCCACATCTTCATGTTTGCGAGCACGTTGTCATCCAGCATAGGCTTAGCTTCCATGTTCCTCGATCGCACCACAACTGGAGAATCTGCGTTCTCGAACCTTTAACAAAAAGTATATGGTAATGAGAGTTAATATACTAAGCATTTATGTGTGACAATCTAGATTAATCATAATTATATACGCAGATACTTTTGTTTATACTGAAGAAAACTTTAATTTTGGTAAAAAATACTAGTCGTTTTCATATAACCAGCGCCACCATGCTGTAACATTTTAAAAGTAAGCTAATAATATTGTGCTTACATTTGCGTGTTCATAGGGGATGCATCGCCAGCCACATCCATCCGCAAGATGTCGTTGAGTTCGGTGTTTTTCGCTTCGTCGTTGCGGTTCTAAAAGTTCAGTTTAAAAATTTTGTACATAGATGGCGCTGAACGCATTAGTAACGATAAACGGTTCTACAACGAATTAAAAAGTAATCAGTAGTGGAAGTTGTACATCAATAGTTGAAAAAAAAATTTAAATAAAACATGATATTTCCTTTACATGTTTTGATTTGTTATTTTACCACAATTGCTATAAAATTTCTGCGGCAGATGTTTTTTATTCTCAAACATAGATGGCGTTGTACTCAATTGTAAAACTTTTAACATTTTCTTTAAAGAGAATCAATGTAAGAATTTTTCCTGTTTCGATGCTTTATATTATAAACAATGCTTACCATTTCAGAGTTTGCAGCGATATTGCGTAGGATCTTTGTAAGATACCAGTCAGGGGCGCTGGAGAGAGATTTTCCTGACCGCTTGCCGTGAGCTGAAAATAATTTGTTTATTAAAATGTTTGTAATAAATTAGACAACACAAGAAACAATTATAAATTGCATTGCTTTAGATTCGAACTGTATAAAAAAAAAGATATCTTTGATAATAAAAAAAACTAATAAAGTCCGCAATTTTAAATATGATTTTTAAGGATAAATAACTTATATTTTAATTAAGAAAGAAGGTAAACATGTTGGTTATATTTCCACGTGTTTCACCATCACAATTTTGTCATTACTTTCGTCCAAATGTAATTAAATTATTAGCAAATCCGTTATGTTAAAAATCCATTAAGCATCCATTTTAGGGACATTGTGTTTTTTTCTCATTTTTATCATTAATATTCATCCCGCAAGCCGTAGCGTGGATGCGTTATATTTTTTAATTACCGTCATATTATAATCCAACGTCATTTGGAAATGACAGGGATTATAATTTAATAATGGAATATTAATGTGTCTTATAACTGCAGCACTCAGAGTTGCTACACTTACTATTACTAAACTGACCTTAGTGTATACACTATATGATATCATCATCATCAGCTCACCATACGTCCCCACCGAGGGGCTCGGAGCCTACCCTAAGTTAAGGGTGATTAGGCCACAGTCAACCACGCTGGCCTAGTGCAGGTTGGTTGACTTCACACATATTTTTGAATTTCTTCTCAGATATGTGCAGGTTGCATCACGATGTTTTCCTTCACCGTAAGAGCGTCGGATAAATGTACATATGTAAATCGGAAAACGAAATACACATTGGTACATGGCGGGATTCGAACCCAGGACCTGCAGTTTGCAAGTCAAGTGCTTGACCCCTGAGCCACCGACGCTCTATATGATATACCTTAACTAAAAGGTCTAATTGAAGCATTCTTTAAAGGATTTCTGAGAATATTCTTACTGAGTAAATTACTTATTTAAAATCTTTCAAGGTCTACTAAATCTACTAAATCTGACTAATGTTAAAATGCATGTATGGATGGATGGATGTTTGCTACAGAACGGCTGCATACAAAGATGTCGGTGAAATTTGGCATAGATGTAGAACATAGTCCGGAAGAACACATAGTCTACTACTTATAAATTAATTTCTTATTTCGCGCAGACGGAGTCGCGGGCGACAGCTAGTTTAAAATAAATATAGTAATAAATTACAGTAACAATAAACATTATATTTGTAAATAGAAAAGGATAAAAAAAAACAAACAAAAGAATTGCGACGAAGTAAATTTCATGGAAATAATAAAAAAACATATAATAAATTGATAACAATAAGATAACTATTAAATAAGGGTTAATTTGAATACTGATGCTAGAAAGTATATCAGGAGAGGATAATCCATTGATAAAAAACTACGACACTGCGTAATACTGGATACAACTGTTGTCATTGATAAGAGGTTCACAATTCATAACATTGTAGCACCCTTATTTGTTTGTTTATCACTTGACTAGCGGTCGCCCGCGACTAAATCCGCAAGAAATTAAAAACATAATAAGTAGCCTATGTTTTCTTCCAGACTATGTTCAATATGTATGCCATTTCATAGAGATCCGTTCAGCGGTTCTGGAGATACCTTTAAACAAACATCCATCTATTTAAACATTTGCATTTATAATATTAAGCTGTCGCCCGCGGCTGCGTCCGCGCGGTATATAAAACAAACTCAATAAGTAGCCTATGTTCTACATCTATGCCATCAAAATCCGTTGAGCCGTTCCGGAGATACCTTCAAACATCTCTCATCTAAACATTTGCATTTATAATATTAGTAAGATAATAAGAAGTTAGATTTTGTAAAGAAAAACTTGTGTTAGAGATCGAAATATCCCTAATTTCTTCATATTTAAACGTTTATACAAGATCAAATGTCATGTTATCTAATAAGGGAAATAAGTAAAATTATTTATATAATTTAATAAAAAAAAAACTAGAAAGCAAATTTTTAGGTTATGAACTCATCTGCAACATCTGATAAATTGACAACAAAATTATCAGCTCATTACGTCAAATTAAGAGGGACTAGGTCATAGTAAACCACACTGGTCCAGTGCGGGTTGACTTCACACATCTCTGAATTTCTACACAGATATGTGTAGCATCACGTTGTTTTCCTTTACCAGATTCAGATTCCTTTGTCAGATTATTACATATTCAATTCCAAAATCGAAGAATCAAGTATCGAAACCTGGATGTGTAGATTTTAGTCAATAGAAAACATTAGCTAAATACACCACTTGGATGTAACTAGCTAACATTATTTACCTTTTTAGGGTTCCGTATCTCATAGAAAATAACGTAACCCTTATAGGATCACTTTGTTGTCCGTCTGTCTGTCAAGACCCTTTTTTATACATAAAATTGTACGTGTTACTTAATAATTATAGGTAAAAGACATATGGTTGGTGATCCGGGATTAAAAGAAATCCAATATTGTCGATAGCAGTTGCGCGTTCAGAGATAATGCAATATATCATGTGTACTATAATATTACGTATTGAACCGATTATTTTCAGTTATGTTTCTTTTAGTTTCACTACGACTGCATTTATTAATCTTTGAGATCCTAAAGTTATTGTCGTTAAGTGGATCAAAACAAACTGATTTTTAAATTGAATTGTTTATTTTGATCGAGTGCAATATAAAAATATTTTGTGTATTTTTAATAACACGATATAGTTAACAGGAACTTTTTCCGAGGTGGAAAAAGTTGCTGGACTAAGCCAAGGCCCACAAAGGGCTGTAGAGCTAGAAGAAGAAGAAGATATAGTTAACAGTTATTGAATGGAATTTCAACATAGTATTTTCCAGTTGACATCTGTATGATAAAATAAATTAAAAAAAAAGTTAAAGGTCGTGCGTAACTATTACAAAATCTTCATATTAAATATATGAAAAACATTTCGAATACATGAAATTTGATTTGTTCGAAGGAAAATAATAAAATTCCGGTCCCTGTATTAATTATCATGTTTTAGTTTGGGATTCAAAATTTATACGTTTGCATAATTATAACTTTGTGATACTTTAGTATGTATTTTGATAGAGTTATGTAATAAATATATATTTAGAAATCATAAACGATATTATTCTATCAACCGTATACATATAAAATTATTCAAGTGTGAGAACTTTTTTTTTTAAATCGATTTTTAAATGACGTCATCGCATAGTATAATTACTTACCTCCCCAGCAAGAATGGCCATAGCTTAAGCAGGATCCTGTAAGTAAATAAAAATTTATAATTAAATATCAAAATAATAAACAGAAATGTCAAAATAACCGTAATTTTATAACAACTGCGCAATTAATTTGCTTCTATTTCATTTTCTTTCACTTGCAAAAGACAAGTAAAAGTTTTTCTGCAGTGGAAACTGACGGTTAAAGGATGGTAGACTATTGTTCCATTCGAAATTGCATTTGGAAAAAGGAGAATAATAAGATAGTAATATATATAAATTACAGGTCATAATAGAAAGTTCTATAGTCGATTTTGTAATAACAACAAATCTAGGTAAACGAAAGTAATTGCGATTAAGTTATTTGACAGTGGAAACTGACTTTAAGTAGATTCCATTCGTCATATTTACATTTTATCTTGTAAAGAATGTCGATTTAAGTTTTTTTAAGACTTTTCAGTGTACGATTTCAAACTATAATATTTAAACTTAAAAGCTTAACTTTAAACTTATTTTGAATGAACGTACATAAAAGATAATTTTTAGTTCAACATATGTAACAAAGAACAGCGAAAGAAAACTATTTCCGATACGTCTTCATCAAGTATTGTTCAGAAAGAATGCATTTTTAAAGAGAAATATTTAATAGTGTGCAAAGTAGAGCTTTATAAATCAAAAAGCTTTTGTTGAGCTTTTACAGGTCAACGGTGAACTGGTTGAACTTTTATATGCCATTCTTTAAAAAACCTAAGATTAAGAGCATGTATGTTTTTGTTTATGTTTCATTATTTTGTTTATAAAACAAATTATCAACAGTGCGACTATATTTCGAATGCTATATCATTATTTTACTTAACCATTTCTGTTTAACTTAAAAGTAACTTACTGTGCTTAAGCCACACTTAGTTATTATTGTCACAAAAATTATTAATCTAGACTTATTATGAGAAATCTGCATTAAGAGACTGTTTCTTCATCAGCACACGTCCCCATTGATGTGTTCGGAGTCTACTCTAAGTCAGAAATGACTAGGTCATATTCAATCACGCTGAAACATTGCGGATTGGTTGACTTTACACTTTACAAGTGATTTCCTTCATCGTTAGATACATATGAAATTCGAAAATCGAAAAACACATCGGTATTCAGGAACATATTTTTCAAGGTGAAGAAATGCTTACGCAAATCTGACTCTATGGTGCGAAAAGAATGTCAGACTTACACCGACTAAAACGGTGGTCACCATCGATGTTAACAAGAGGAGGCATCTCAGTTTAGAACATAATAGTAACCACCTAAACGGTTAGCAAATCCAAGGCCTGTATTGCTATGAATGAAGCTTAGTCATATTCTACGTACTTTGTAACTGATCTAATCTCATAAGGTATAGTGAATGCAACGCTATCGTTATGGGACTATCATAAATGCACGTCTGATGCATTAGACGGGAGTGTCCACTTAATGCGATCATAGTAACATCATGAGCAATAAACCTTCAACATACTTGCTTAAGAGCTCTATATGTCGCCTGTTGAACAGAGAACATCGGATCAAGATGTTCACTAATCACATAAGTCTTTTTTTAGGAAAACTGGTGAACCTTAAGATTAATTCTAAATGTTAAATTAAAAGATTTGTTTTTTAGCTCTTTTTCTTTCTACTAGAAATGCTATTTAGTTCAGGACATCTCAATGGACGTCTTCGCGTCGCAGTTTTAAAAAAAACAAGAAGTTTAGATAGCTGGATAGAGTAGCTTCGTCAAAAATGGAAAGTTATTTAGTGCGTCGTAACTATGTTTGGGAAGCACTACACTTCTTGCAAAAATTAGACTTGATTTTGATTTTTAATCTGTCCTTTGTTTTTAAACTTGTAAACCTTTTTCTTACTTATAATAGACTAAGAGAATTGTTTAACCAACTTAAAAATCCATCTTTCCATCGAGCCTTTCGAAATTAATAATTTCAAAACAATTATCTTTTGTTTACGGGTTGTTATTAAAATTATTGAGGCGATGTGATCTTTGTTGGTAAATGGTCTATTGTTGCTTCAAGTGATGCCAGAAATATACACATTTTTGTTTTAAAAAAAATATTGAAAATTTTTATATACTAAATAAGGGAAAAATATTCTTAGCAATATCTTTTAAAGTCGGTGTCAGATAAAAAATAAACATAATTTTTTTTATATCATAAGGTGGCAAACGAGCGAGCGGCCACCTGATATCGCTGAAAGAGCGAAGTGACCGTTGCCCATAGACATACGCAATTACATATGCGTTGCCAACTTATTTTTTTACGACGGAGAAGAGGATGCACAGAAAGAAAATATTTCTTTCCATGCATCCTCTCATCCGGAAAGTCCACTTCCACTTCCCATCCTTTCCTTAGAAGAAAAAGGGTGGGAAGGGATAGAGGACTAATTTAGGCCTCCGGGACGCACACTCATCAGACGAAACGCGGAATTGCTTCCACTTGACGTCTGTCTTCTGTGTGGTCGTGGCATTTCACGGGGCGAGCCGGACAACTCGTGCGAAGATGTTAAAGCGGGCTCTACCACTGTTAAAAATATCTGCTTTTGCTGACCCTATATATTTTCTATTCAATAGATACTATTTAGATTTCGATTATTGCGTCATATTATGACACTCTTTTGTTTTGATATAATTTTTGCATATACGCTTTGCTACTTATGCGTTGTTGGTATGAATCGGTGATAGTGGAAAGACAATTTATCGTGTAATCATTTAGTACTAGAGGGCATATAAATATATAAACGACAGTTTCGCATGTTCATAAATACATTTGCGTCCACAATAATTACGTTAGTTTACATTTACACCAATCTACAATATTAATTACATTATAATTGGACGCGTAAATGTAATCCATTTTAATGAAAATTTCATTCATTAAAATTATTCTTTTTTCAAATTGTACAATAATATATTTTTCCTATCCTATTCTTTTTAATGGATTTTATTTAACTAAAAAGAAATAGTAATAAAAGTATAAAAACATAGAAAATTTACCATACAAAGTGCTTCCACAAATTAGCCTTCAACAAAGTCCTATGCAAACCATTTCTATGAATGAAAAAAAATGGCGACCCTTAGCGTACTTCCATGAACAATATTAATTAATGCAAATTTTACAATTTGTCGTTAAAACATAAACAATTTATGTTCTTTTAACATGATAATCGTTTAGTAGAACATAAGCTCCTAAGAACTACAAAGCATAGAGTATTTAATAATAGAGGTAGCAAATATTAAACAGCCATATTTTTAACATCAATCGGTGCTCTGTCAACATCTAATCTACGGCGGTGCGAGAAATATTCCGAGCGTATTTACAATAAAGCTCATGCCTAATACTTGATACAACATTTATATCCGACAAAACCTTACTCAAATATACATATGATGGAGTACATGTATTGATATTTGTCACGGAATTTACATTTTTTTTGTGTTATTACACATATAAATAAGAAAATATACTATATTTTAATTTACATTTCAAAACTTGAATTTATTGTTTATTAAATTTCACTGTAATTATAATAAAAAATTGTAAAAATTACAGTCTCTAATGGAAAGGTACAACATAACGACATAGGCATGCTCTGACATACCTCCGCGTTGACTGCGCCACCCGTTGACTTTCTGAATAAGGCTTGTTGATTTGCTACCTCTATTAATTCGCTGCTCTGTGGATCAGATGTATCAAATTTTGGAATTATAAGTGTGTCTGAAATTTATTACTCTGTCGACCAGTCTTAGTAGATTTAAAAATAATTTCAATAAATACTATGTAGATCTCTATATTATTATACAAGTTTGTACGTTATAGGAAATAATGAAGTTTGATTTGTAATCATCATCATCAGCTCACTATACGTCCCCATTGTGGGGCTAGGAGCCTACCCTATTTTAGGGGTGACTAGGCCATAGTCAACCAAGCTGGCCAAGCGCGGGTTAAAGTTAAACACACATATCTTTGAATTTCTTCTCAGATATGTGCGGGTTGCATCACGATGGTTTCCGTCACCATAAGTACATCCTTCACGGGAATACATTTAAACATGGCGGGATTCGAACCCAGAACCTGCATATTACAAGTCAAGTATTTAACCCCTGAGGCGCCGACGCCAGTCGTTTTAACTGAGTAAAATGTTAGAATCAATAAAACCTTATTTATAAAGGAACTTATATGAACCTTAAAAGACGATAGTACAATAATGTCATCTTTGATCGGCTTTGAAAAATGCTTTTAAAATTGCTATATTATAAATTGTGACGTCATATTACGTATAAGACGATTGTATGCTTCGTAAGTAATCATTTTGATGTCTACGTCAATAACACAATAACGAGTCACGTCCCAGGAGCTTACGTTGTTCTTCCTTTAAAAAGTTTCCTTTATAATTTAACCCTGTGATCGTATTTTCAATTTTGCTTTACAATATTGGAATTGCAATCATTTTATATCTTCTTATTTCAAATAAGTTCAATATTATTTTTGAAGTAGAAAAAAAAAACTTAATAAACATAGGATATGTGTTCTTCCATACTGTGATACACATATATGTCTAATTACAGTAAGATCCATGCAGGCCTTCTAAAGATATCTTCAAACAAACATCCATCATCCATGTTCTTCTTTAATTCCTCGCGGACGGAGTCGCGAGCGACAGCTAGTCGTTTAATAATTCAAACGCGCTTTATAAATGTAAATTGTTACTGTGTTGGTATTATCGACCTACCTCAATACTGAACTGACCTGTTGCAAGCTAATAGTTTCACACGAGGGCAGTGATAAATTACAGTATAATAGTACAGCTATTGTTACAACGTACGCACCAAGACATAGCAGTATGTTTTATATTGAATAAGCTAACCACGAACCCACCTGATGTTAAGTGATGATGTGGTCGACTTCTCTACCTCAATTTACTACTCTCGTGTGAAACTACAATTTAAATAACAAGCGTGGTTCATGACCTTTATAATTAAATATTTTATCATACGATCTATTAATGTTTCATTTATACTACAACGTTAATTTGTTCGTTTTAAAAATCATTCTCAGAATAACGTGACCTAGAACCATTTTATTCCAGCTACTCAATGATGGAATTTACCTATGTTTTTTTTATTCAAATAGCTTGTTAATCTATATGTACTGTTTACCTTTATTTAAATTATAACCGAAGTATACTGCGTTAGTTTGTAATCGAATGAGACGTATCCGTAAAAAACTAGAGACATCAAGTTTTGTAGGCGCTTTTGCTGTATCTTATTGTCTTAGTTGAGGCTATTAAAATTTAAGCCCTAGGTTCAATTACATTCAGAAACATAATGTTACTAATATCATTATCTATGCAGCCGTACAAGAGATATACTTATTATGCGTATCTCGAGTACGTCTACATACATAGATCATGCTGAAATTTGGCATAGATGTAAAAAGCCTGAAAGAACACATACGCTATTGTTTTATAATGCCGCGGTGTCAAAGTTGTTGGCTACAGCCTGTATTAAATGAAGACCATTATTTTAGGTCGATGACAGTTATTATTCGGATCAGATCTAAGTTAATCAATTGATAAGTATTGTTAGGAAGAAAATCCGACACTGTGCCGGTGTACTGGCGCAACATTAGACTTATTGAAATGTCAATGTTTATGTCTCCTCACTAATCAATCTGAAACTTTATTTCTTAACGAAAGTAAGCTTTTCGCACCAAAGGATTTAAAGTAAGGGAACATACCCATACTAAGTGACCTACTGTTTAGTTTTTTCTAAGTTTTTTTAGACTGCAGGCATACTTAAATTACTAGTGAATTATGTATTATGAAAAAGAACACCTAATGACTACGTGGCAAAAACCTGAACCACCCCCCTCGCTCCTGTGACCGACCGTAGTATTTTAAAGACTCCCCCCCCCTAAACGGGTCACGTAGTATGGGTAAGTTCCCTAATAATGTCTATAACTATCCTAAGTTATGTTAGGAAAGCTCGCAAGTGTACAGACGCAAACATCAAATTAAATGTTTAATGGTGACGGAACATTTGCCGACATCGCCAAATATTTGTCTATCGGCCATATTTTTATGTTGCGGCGTTAAAAGCTGAGTTTAATATCTCCGGCAAACATTAGCTTAATTTACGACTCGGCTTAGCGAAGAAATCAGATTTATAACTCATAAATACTTAAATAAACTTCAATTTTATTTAGTAAATAATCTACTAAATTATTTAACTTATATTTATATAGTTTTATATACATTTAATATCTATTATATAATATTTCACCTACATTTGAAATATTGACTATAAAAATGTAATTTGTACCCCTATTTAGATTATTTCTTTGGTTAGTAAGATCTCTGTGAATTAAATATATTTGTATACGTTTGATGGAGATATGGTACAATACGGTACTCTTTGTTTGACAAGGAGTTTTCATTCTGCGCATACTGTCCACTAAACACCATTACCTTGTTGATTAAAAAACGAGATGATAAAAAAAAAGAATAGCGCGGGAAATCAATGAGTTGACAACAAATTTCAGTAGTAAAAGAAGTTGTTCGAATAATTAATAAAATAAGTATATTTTTATCAATGACGAATAAAAACTTTTTGGTTCCTGGCTGGTTTTAATTCTCTACAGTTATTGTATGATAAATTGGTATTTAAGTGGTTATTCATAGTAAACAATTGTTTATTTAAACTTCTATAGAATAAATATTGATTTGAAGAGTATTAGAGAAAGAGGTATTGTTGCAGACTGAATTAGAGAATCTTCTATAAATTTTAATTGGCTTCGATATCTTGCTTTATTATTTTGTTTATATAAAATTAGCATTTGCTTACGATATTGCTCGACTCGAGATATTTCAAGAGACGAATCATTGTTTAATTTTATTGTAATTGAAAATATTATTTTTGTTGTTATTATTGTTGTATTTAATGAGTAGATTTTAATAATTTAAATGTAAAATATAAATAGCTTAAATGCATTTTTATTAATTTTAAAGTTTCAATTCATTTACCGTGGGTTTGTGACTATAAAATCTTCTGTATAAAACATGTCGTCATCCCAGTCATTATCTCAGTGTCAGCCATATCATATTTATACTCAGAAACCCACGGTTAATGCGCTATGCGAATACATAATAAGATATAAGAATTCTTATAAAACAATTTAAGTAACATTATTAAATATATAAAAAAGTTCCAAAAACAATTGTTATCGAATCAAGACGATTAGCGGGAAAGTGTCGAAGTCCTGTAAGTAAGTTCCCGCGCGTTAGAAGTCACCAAATCAAATAGAACACGTCAAAACTACCAAAGTTATTTATTTGCTATAATCACGTTATTAATATTGTGCTACGTGATTGTTGTTATAGCTATTTGTAGTTAATTTTTATCTACAATCTTCTAACAATACTATTAGACTTTCTAAATCCAAATACATCAAAATAAATCGGGTTTAAAACGTCATATAGTAATCATACTGGAAAGGATTGGAATACAGTTTGGTTTATACTCGTATAAATAATTGAATTGTCTTAGTAAAATCACATAAATAAACCCGTGTACTTATTTACAAACAAAATGAGTGATTGGTGCAGAGGTAATGTATGCAACTCACACGTAAAAATATGACATCTATAACGTTACATCAGATATTGTACAGTGCACAAACAATGGCATGAAATATAATAACAAACTTACCTGTAGCACTTTGTACAAGACATATGACGACCAACAGGACCAGAAGTCCAGTGAGGCCTGAACTGCTCTTTCCGTGAAGCCTGGACGACGACATTTTAACTGGATTCTTGAGTAGCTAAAACATAATAAATCGATTATCTTTCCAATACTGCAGTTAATTTTATCATACAATTTTAATATTGTACTAACTACCCTTTGTCATAAATTTGACAAGGGGTATGTTTATATTTCATCCCCATATCAGATCGCGAAGGACGCGTTGTTTTATACCATTAGCTACGGCCCGCGACTCTATCCGCGCGAAATTTTAAGAAAACATAATTAGTAGCCTACATATTCTTCCAGACTATGTTCTATATGTACGCCATATTTTTTTTTATAAGAGAAGGGGGCAAACGAGCGGCGGGAACACCGAGGTGAACAACGACACCCATGGACATTTGCAACACCAGAGGAACTGCAGATGAGTTACCGGCCTTTAAAATTAACACTCTAATATTTCGTAGAGATCCGTTCAGCCGTTCTGGAGATACCTTCAAATAAATATCCATCCATCCATCTATCCAAACATTCGCATTTATAATATTAGTAAGATAAGATTTAGATTATATCAAAGTAGAAGTTTGGCTAAAACTTTCTTTTTCAATTATTTATTTAAAAATAGAACTAAGTGTATTACTTCAAGTTAAATATGTTTAAACAAAGATATCATATATCTATTTAAATAAAAACCCACTTAACATACTTTTATATGCAAAGTCGGGTAAGTTTGTCTAACTTAAGCGATGTCGGGATGTGAACCACTTAAGACACATTTATCATAGAGCCGGTGTTTTCTAAGTAAAAAGGGTAGACCAAACATAGACACTTAAAGTTATGTTATCATTTAATAAAGAAATATAAACATGACCATAAATATTGTCTTTTTTATTAATTGGTTTATTTGTTGCCAGATATTCTAAAATTAAATTTAAACTATTTTAAGATAGATAGATAAAGTTTTTTCTTTTTTTATGGAACTCTACGGCCAGTGTTAAATGTGTTGAATTACACGAACATTTTTAAAAATCGCCTGGAAACAGTAGACGCGTTACCGGTTTTAAAAATTCCTGATCGTAAACTAAATGTTACGACACGTAAATACATAATGTTGTACTGGTTTTATCAATATGAGTCTAACTTAAAAAAGTCGTCTAAAAAAATTCGAAATGAATCTAAAAATTTATTGGCTTATAAAAAAAATGTAATTTGATTTAAATTAATTCAAAGCTTAATCTAGAACTAATAAGACACTACTTACTAAAATAAAAACATAAATTAATACTTCAAGATATAAGTTATGTCATCTAAGTTTAGAACAAATTAATCTAGAAATGAGAATTGTATTTCAAACTAGTTGAAGCAAGTATGGTAAAATAGTAACATTTGTTACAAAATTGTACTGATAAGTTATTGTAGCTTAGACTACATAAGTTAAGCTTAACTTATCTTGTTTGATTACTTTATGAAACTGCATTCATTTTCCATGTAACGGATATAGTTAACTCAGGATTATCTAAGAATAATATTTATCGATATATTCTAATGAGCGTCGGTGGCTAAGGTTGGGGTGGATAAGGGGTCAAGCACTTGACTGGCAATCTGCAGCTCCTGGGTTCGAATCTCGCCATGTACCAACGGTTTTTTCGATTTCCGATTTACATATGTACATTTATCCAACGTTCTTACAGTGAAGGAAAACATCGTGATGCAACCTGCACATATATGAGAAGAAATTCAAAGATATGTGTAAAGTCAACTAACCAGTACTGGTCCAGCGTGGTTGACTATGGCCTAGTCACCCCTAACTTAGGGTTGGCTCCGAGCCCCTCAGTGGGGACGTATAGTGAGGTGATGATGATGATGACAAAATGCTATGCTTAGAATTTTATGGAAATAATTTTTTTTATTATACTATCTATTGAGGGCCTCCGGGACCCCCAATAATTTGGGGTAGGCAATAGTCAACCACGTTGGCCCTTATTGACCCATGTTGACTGCACATATATCTTTGAATTTCTTCTCAGATATGTGCAGGTTGCATCACGATGTCTTCTCTCACCGTTCCATTGAATAAAATTATTGGTCAATAAAAGAATTACATTTTAAATTCATTATTTAAGTAACATTTTATCTTCATAATCTATGGAAAACTAATCAAATGTAAGTAATTCTTACGAATTCATAAGATATTTAAATAAGAAGCGATGAATTTTTCTCGTATTCATGTAGAAGGTTCATCGCTGCCAGCTGAAGAAATGCAAATGTATTGTTGCGATGAAAACTATCTCAGTGGCGCAGCGTGCAATTCATAAGCGACAGTGTTTTAACAATATAAACAATACATATTTAAGACTAGCTGTCGTCCGACTCTTCTGCTTGCGCGACTTCTGAATATACTATCCGACAAACATCCATTCGTCCATCTAAACATTCGTATTTATAATATGAGCAAGATTAGGCCTTAAGCAAATCACTTAATATTTATTTTTGGACTAAATCTTAGTTTTTCGTATTTATCGATGGCAATTTTGTTTTTTCTGTTTTACATTTTAATTTAATAACAAACGTTATAATTTCAATTGTGAATATTAAAAAATGCTAGTTTGCAAGAATTTTTACTTAAACATTTATTATAGTTTGTCTAATAGCCTAAAGGGGTCATGGACAAAATTATGTCTCTTTCTAACAATTACTCCATCAGTGAAACAAAATATACTTCTTGTTCAACATCTCTGATTTGTCCATTCGTACCCTATCCTCACACGTAGTCACCCGTAACTTAAGCTAGACTCCGAGCCCCTCGGTGGGGACATATAGTGAGCTGATAATGATGATGATGATGACCCTATCCTATGTTTAACTATTAAATAAAATATTTTTTTACATATTTAATTGTATAAAATACTATACGCTTATGACTTGTGTCGTGTCCGGTGCAACGATTATTATCTTTTATTCATTTTTCTATAGAGATACGTCCACGATTAGAAAACTCTACACACAAGAAATGTTCGTTCTAAAACAATAAAGTAGCACTGGTTTGTGCTTATTTTTTCACAAGAGTTGATCACATACTAAACAAAATATTCGTACTAATTTATTTGTTATTTTATTTCAAACTAGTGGTCGTCCTCGACTCCGTCAGCGTGGAATTTAAAAAAAACTTAAAAAGTAGCCCATAGCTTTCAGACTATGTTGGTTAGCCGATGCAGAGATACCTTCAAACATCCATCCATCTAACATTCGCATTTATAATATTAGTAAGATATATTAAATAATTTGCGTTTTTTATACATTTGATATAATATTAAAATGGCAATAGGTTTCTAACTTTTTTATCTATATATTAACGTCAGAGCATGATTTACGAAACGATAAAATTAATTACTATACATTAGAATTTGGAAAAAAGCTTATGTAATAAGATTTAAACCATATATTTTCTCTACTTAAATAGAGATTAGATAGACAGTAATTATACTGAAACATCATTTATATTGAGTTTTCTGTCTAGTATTAATATACAAATTTTCCCTAGTTTCTGTACTCTTTGTCATACTCTACCATTTTCTCCTAACCTTTCCGTTTAACCTTTTTTCTTAAGCTAGTAAGAAAATTTATATTTTGTTGCATCCACAATTTTCACACGCCATCACATCTTTGTATAAAGTTAATTGTTAGTTAATTTATATGTAATATATTATTTTAACTGTCCATTTACTCAGATGTTAAACTATCGCCGTTCCAGAGTTTAATAAAAGTTTTTTTTTGAGTCAAACTTTTTGTTACGTTAAATGTTTTATAGTTTGTTATAATCAAAATATGATTGGTTTTGTGTTTAATAAATTCACAAATAAATAATTACAGTTGTTTTAATGATTCTTCATAAATTATAGAGACTTTACCTAATAGAATTAAAAAAAACTGATCGTTGGTTCTCGAGTTACAAATCTCTGTATGTAACATATCGTCATCCCTGTCATTATCTTTGACAAAACAGAGATAGCAATAGATTTTGGTCTCAGAAACCCACGAGTAATTTACCGTGGAAATGTTAGGAAATCATGTAAAATTATACAACTTCTATTTTTAAATAATGTCATCATCATCAACCTGCCCTTATCCCTATCGAGGGTCGGCACAGTATGTACTACTCCTCCGTACATCTCTATCAGCCGTCATATCCGAGTCTATTGTTAAATAATGAAATTCTATAAATTAGCAAACGATGCGATGTTAATTTTAATTTTCGATATAAATCACATTTAAATCAATGATCTGACCGTAGTAATTTCACAGTAAAATTGACATTTAAGCATTTATAATTCGATAAAAACGTTAATTCGCTAGAATTTTCACTTATTAACGTTCAGGTACTAAATAAAATATATTAAATATACCGTATACGGTTTAAGAGAATAAAACAAAGAAACATTCAAACATACATATATGGAATAAATATCAAAAGTTAAATCTTTTAATTAATAAATGTTACTAATATTATAAATGCGAATTTAGATAGATGGATGCTATTTTGAAGGTATCTCCAGAACGGCTAAACGCATTTCAATAAAATTTGGCATTTTGGGATTTAGAACATAGTCCGGAAGAACATAGACTACTATTTCTTTATTTCCGTGCGGACGGAGTCGCGGGCGATAACTACGTATACATAATAGTGAGTAAGACGTAGACAGCCAAAAAAGAAATTCGCTGTCAAAAAAAGAACATATGGTCATCTTTCTCATTCTTCATAAATAAATGTGAGAGAGTTATATATTTTGTGCCCGTACTTAGATTTATTTATTTCATTTATAGATAAAGAAACTCTCAATTCTTAATTTAAAATACTCGTATAAAATATTCGGTTTTCAAAACTTTAGTACATTATTGTTAGGTTTATTGAATTATATAAAATAAAAATAAAAAAAATGTAAAATTAAAAATCTCTTAACGTGACCTTTCATTGCTGAAACATTTAAGCACGCACTTTTATCCGGGTTTTCAGTTTTTGAGACAACATTTTTTTTTATTTAATTTACTAAATGATATTGGGCATATAAAGCA